TCCTCCTCCAGTCCCTCCCCCAGTTGTCACCCAACTCTGGTGTGGGTGGTGGGATGGCTGGAAGGGAAGTCCATCAGCGGGGTGAGAGAACTTTCTCCCCAGCCCCCTTACAACATGCACCTCTCCAGACCTCCAACTGTGGCCCTGACAGGGAAGCAACACAGGAAATCAGCCAGGGTCAGGCAGGGTAAAGGCCCCAAGCGTGCAAAGATCAGGCACAGCAGTCCATGGAGGTCTGCTCCAGGTCCACTCCAGGTCCTCTCTACCCCAGTGGGAGGGAGCTCTCCCACTGCAGACCCCATGGCATGACCCCACTGCTCTGGGGCTCCGACACTTGAGTGGGATAGTGACATCCATTAAAATCATCCTGAAACCTGCAGAATGAATCATCTCCATCTCCAGGGGCCCCAACACTAAACCTGCCTCAGCAGCCATGCTTGAGGCTCACCAGCACCATCAGGAGATGGAACACAAGGCAGAGAGAGGGTGGAGGGGGGATATTTGTCCCAGGCTGATGCAGACCCCTCCGTGCCTGTGCCCTGGCAGCTTGCGTGGTGTCCATCTCAGTCCTCATTCGCTTTTCCAGGGTGTCCCCAAGACCAACACCAGCAGCAGACATTCCAGTTATGACATTTTCCTCAAGACAGCTTGTGCTGGTTTCACTGGGCTGGCAGCCAAACCCAGCCACTCACACACTGCCCCCACCCAGGGGATAGGGGAGAGAACTGGGGGGCAAGGGGAAGGAGACTCCTAGGGGGAGAGAAGAACAATTACATCATTGACATAAAAGAAAACTTAAAATAATATTGACAACAATAGTAATAAGATATGCAGATGAGCGATGCCCAGTGCCATCGCTCACCACCCGCTGACCAAGCCCGGCCCGTTCCCAGATCACGATCCCGCAGGAGCAAACCGCAATCCCGGGAGAGCCAGAGCCCGAGCCAAAGCCAGAGAGAGCAAGAGAGGAAGAGCCCCTCATGGATCTCCTGCCCATGGGGGACAGGAGATGGAACAGCCCCTTGGCAGAGCCCAATGCCCATGGAGCTGATCCATTGCAATATTCCTCACCCCTGAGATCTCAGCACCTGCAGATTAGCAAAACACAAAGTCCTTCAACTTCCAGAGACAACTGGAAACATTAGTATGTTACCAACCTTCATCTCCTACCAAACCCCAGCTGAACCCAAACCCCAGCGCTGTTCCAGCTGCTGAACAGACCCAGCTCTGGCCCAGCTCACACCAGGCCACAGTTCAGCTCAGCTTTATTTTTTTTAATGGTATGTTTAATGCTATTACTGTTTTGTCTGTTTGCTTTGTCTGTTAATGTGGCTGCCAAATTCCTATCCACCTTTTCAGGTTCAACCACAGCAGCAGGTGGGATGGAAGCCGGGACACATCCAGCACATGCTCTGATCCTCTCCCCTGTGTCAGAGCTCTCCAGATGAGCATCCCCCAGCCCCCTCCGTGGGAATCCTGGGAGCTGACAAAAGCCCTCACCACCACGGAGCAGGGAAGTGGCAGGGGGGGCAGGCTGGGAGAGCAGGAGAAGAGAAGGCTCCAGGGAGACCTTCTAGTGGCCTCCCAGTACCTGAAGGGGCTCCAGGAAGGGTGAGGAGGGACTTTGGCCAAGGGCAGGGAGTGACAGAACAAGGGGTGATGGCTTGAAAGTGGCAGAGGGGAGATGGAGCTGAGATGTGAGGAAGAAATTCTTTGGTGTGAGGGTGGTGAGACAGTGTCCCAGGTTGTCCAGAGAAGCTGTGGCTGCTCCTCCCTGGAAGTGTTCAAGGCCAGGTTGGCTGAGGCTTTGAGCAACCTGGTCTAGTGGAAGGTGTCCCTGCTGCTGGCAGGGGGGTTGGGACTGGATGAGCTTTCAGGTCCCTTCCCACCCAAACCACTCTGGGATTTACAACCTCAGCTGACACTGCGGAGATGCTAACAGGCTGCTTCTTCCCTTGCATGGTCTGGGATCAACATCAGAGGGGCCAGGCTCCATCTTCTGCCTTTTGAAGGTTGTCTCTGACATCCTAAAAGCCTGCAAGGTGAACATCACCTGCTGGCTACACAGCACAGGCACTGCAGTGCCTACTGATGAAAGGCAGCACCACTGCTCGTTCTGCCTTGGGGGGCTGGTGTGACCCAGCAGAGCTGGGGTAAAGGTGCAATAGAGATTTATCTAGATATGAAAAAAGGATTGAGAGAAGCCTAGGTAAGCAGAGCTGACCTACAAACTTGATTTATCCACACTGAAGTGTTTCACAGGAACATCACAGGGTTTTGGTTTGGTTTTTGCAAAACTGTAGATGGGAAATGACCTGTGATATTAAGGTAAAACAAGACGAAAGTCAACCGAAATGAAAGCTTCACCCAGCAATGTGTGAAAATCATTCCCCAGCAGGAAAAAAACAAAACAAATCAAAACAAAGCGCTGCTATTTCTGTTTCCCAGCCCAGAAGGTACCAGAAGTTACACACTTGGGCTTCAGAGTTTCCCATGAGGCAATAATTCATTGTGTTTTTAAATGGTGCTATGGGCATGGGGCACCTTCATCCCACCGTGACAACCTCCACATCCCCATTTTCCTGAAAATAAAAGGTTGAATTCTCAGGCTTAAAAATTTCTGGGCAAGATGTCACGTCTGGAAGTTTCAAATATATTAATTTCAGATTTAGTCCATCAACCTTCTCCATCAGCAATACAGAATACACTTGACTGATATTTCAAGCCAGGCATCACAGGTTTCAACACTTTGTCTTAAATTCGTCTTAGAAATAAGACATTTATTTAAGAAAGTCCATCAAAACCTGAGGTTTTCTTCCTTATCTGACCTGCCTGGTTCATCCAAAGCTTTACAGCAAAGGGGTCATGTAAGAACACAAGCTGGGGAGGTTTACTGGCTCATATATGACCAGATCCCACATGCCCAATTCACTGGACACCAGACTATTTTGAAACAAAGCAAGTCACAAGCTTTTCAGCAGACTCCCATTTTGCCTACACGCAGCTGAGCAGGCTTCCTACATCAGCCAGATTTTGGAGGTAGCTGTGGACAATTACTCTTTTCTACTGGGGTTAAAATATCTTCCTACTGGGCCAAACCTTTTATAGATATTACTGAAAAATGAAACTATAATTCCGTTCAAAGATTAGAATTACATGAATAAAAATATCTGTTGCTGGAGCTTCTAATATGATTCACAGAAAAAGCCAACAGAAAAAAAACCCCAAACCTTCTGCATCAAACTCCATTCACTCATTTCTAGAAGCAATTTCTACCAGCCAGTACCATTTCCAAGTGGCAGGGCACCTGGATGGCTCCATCCTCCATCACACTGTGGGTCTCTTTCAAAAGTGACTTTCCCTGCGTGTCCAAGTTCTTTCCTGCCTCAGCTTACACATCAGCACCATGAAGCACTGCGGCAGCTGGGGAATCTGGAGCTTCAAGACCTTGAGGCTGCCTAAGAAAGCTGTGACAGCCGGTTCAGCCCTGACCTCACTCTCCCCAGTCCTACACCATCAGCATGTCCAGTGTTCTCCAGCATCAGAAACCTGATTGCTGAGGTTTTGATGGTACAGGGCTGACCACAGAGGGGTTCACCCATGGTTGCACATGTAGCCTAGCAAAGGAACCCGCCTGTCCCAGAGTCCCCAGCCTGGAAAATAGACTGGGAAATGGGAAAACAGTCTGGAAATGAGATGAGGTTTCCACAGCTATTTTGAAACAGAGACAATGAATCCACAGATGACTACAGAGCAGTGGGCTCTCTCTCTCTCTTGGAGGTGAAATCTGCACCATCACCAACCCTCTCAGCAGCAATCCTTGGTGCTCATCAGAGTTTCACAGTCTCTACAAGGGAAAGTTCGTGACCATTTTCCATCATCGACCTGTCTCCCATCTTAGGTCACCAGGCTTCAACAACACTAAACTGAGGAACACCAAGCCCAGGAACACCAAGCCCAAGGACTTACCATTGCCTAGAAGCCTAAGCCAGTAGGTGCCACTACTGGGGCTGCTGTTCCCTGGGGGAGGCAGCTGCCTGCAGAGAGACAGGTAACTGGGTGGGAAAATAGTGGGGTCATCATGACTACTGGACAGGTAGCCACCGACATGTGAGCAGAGCCAACCAGCCACCCAGCTCAGAGGATCTCCCACAGCAGGAGTGATGCTGTGGTGGTGGCCGAGGTCCTGGGGCCACCTCGTGGCTAGTGACATGGATTGCTTCCATCGGTGCCTTTCTCTAGGAGCCTTGGCCATAGCGTGGGGACCACTCGTGTCCGTGTGTGCCTGGGGAAGCTGAGCATCTCCAGCCGCTCACTCAGTTCTGCCCGAGCTCCAGCTTCCTCAGGGGTTCCTGGGAGCCATCCAGCTTCCCAGGGTTACGTGTCCTCTGGCTGCCCTCCTCAGATGCTGGGGCTACAGCACTTAAAATATGAACTCTTTGATTTATTTATTATTATTATTATTTTTACCCAAACAGCCTGGAAACAAGGGTCCCTGCTATTTGTTGACATAACACGCAGATCCTGCTCCAACCACACAGCTCTTCTCTCCATGGGCAGGAAAACCAAAATGACCATCTCTAGAGCAGTCAGCACAAAAACCACACAGACCTGCAGAGACAAGGGGAGGGTTCCCGTGACCCTTCACTTGCACAAGGAAAACACAACCCCACGCACTTCCCTCAGACCCCAGGAACAGCCCAGTGACTCATCAGCCAGATGACACTTTTGGTTGGGAGCTGGTGATGGCTCCAGCAGAAGGTGGCATTACATTCTCTACACCACATAGATACCCCAAGCCTACCACTTGTTGGGGCCTTCAAACTGCTGTTCCTTGTCTTCCTTCCTACTCTAACCAAGCTTCCTCTCCCTTGGCCACTCTCCCATACCAACGTGCCAGTGGAACAGAGGATCCAGAGCTGAACACCCAGCACAGCTCTGCTAACACCCATCCTGGCTGTGAGCAAGGGATACTGGAGACAAAACTGAGACAGAGCGGATCTAGAGGGGAAAACCAAGGATTTAATGGAATGAATGAATGAATGGAGAAGCTCTCAAAGTCCACTCTGGGGGCCACAACACTGAGACCCTGACACTCTCCACTCCAGGATCAGTCCTTCTTTTCTGCCCACCAGAAGGCTGGGGATGCTCAGGAACACCAGTGCTTGATCTGCCCCTTCACAGCCCTCTCCAGAGAGAGGATTAAGGTGCATTGGTAAGTCCTCACAGACCATCTCCACGGCAGCTTCTTCCTCAGCCCCTCAAATCTTCCAGGACAGGCAGCTCAGCCCAGAAATCCCCATCTCCTTGGCAAGTGAAGAATCCTTGCGCTATCCAACAGTTGGTAAAGGCTGTATAGAAACCATCCTGGGGGGAGAGGTGGAGACCCACACCAGTCCTAGCAACGAGATTCGAGCTCTGTCAGCATCAGGAGGCCAGATCTGGTGGAGGGAAAGGACCGTTCCATGCCCGGCCTGGAAGGCAAGTCCTCAAGTGGGCAGGTGAGTTGGCGGAACCTCTGGAAAGCAAAGGCAGGTATTGAACACAGCTGTAAGGACAAAAAGTGACCTGGACCCTCCCCTTCCACTCATGGGTATCATCCAGCCAGCCAGAAAGGGCTGCAGATCCGATCCCTAAATACTAGAGATGTCCCAGATAAGGACAGTCAGCACTTCAGAAACTGAAGGGATAAACTCATCTTTGAACCACTTGTCTCAAGACAAGCACCTGAGACACGGGAGGAAATCTCTGTCCTCCATTTGCTCCAGACCAGGGCTGGAAAGCTGAAGGGTGGTTGGTGCCCAGGTACCTCCAGGTGACCCCCTCCATCAGCACACTGCAAAGCAAGAGCCTGAGCACACAGAATTGGCTTTAACTGGGACAGCGAGTGTGTAATGGGGCTACCCTCTATGCCACGTAGTGTGGTCCTTGCTGTGCTCCTCCAGCTGTGCCCACTCCTCCTGTCCATGCTGGACACGGGGATGAGGGGCTTGTGGTTGTCATACCCCACTCCTGAGCACTTGCAGGAGGCAGAGAGTGGGTGTGATCCTGGGGTATCAGGATATCTGTGAAACCTCCAGAGACATGGCAGGGATGGGAGCTTCTTCCCTGTGAGGGTGCCAGAGCCCTGGGACAGGCTGCCCAGAGAGGGTGTGGAGTCTCCATCTCTGGAGATGTTCAAACCCACCTGGACAC